CAGTTAGTATTCGCAGACACTAGTCTTGTTTGTGTGATCCCTTTGACTCTTAAACCTATCAGTGTGATCAATTGTGAACTGAAGTTGATCACTTGGACTAGTGAGATGGCATTGGTACATGCCACCTTGATGGGATTGTATTGGAATCCCCTGGCACGTTTCTAACTCCACCATTTGGGGCAAGTCCGATTGAGCATGTCCCAAATTGTACATCTCCTCCCTCTCTTATTCCCACTCTTATATTTAACAGGGATCACTTTTCAGTTAAAATTTAAACACCTAAGAATAAATGTGTGTTAATTACAGAGTTCAACCAATAGTACTAGAACAAAAAAAAATACTAAAAGGGATAAAGTATTACATTGTACATCAATAGTCAGGACAAGAGCTGATCAAGTCACTGTTTCTCATAGTGTCCATTTCACTTCAACAGGTTTCCCCTTTGGTGCTCAGTTAGTTGTCGCCGATCAAGGAGAACATATGATATTTGTCCCTTTGGGACTGGCTTAATTCACTCAGCATGATGTTTTCCAGATTCCTCCATTTTGTTGCAAATGACCAGATTTCATTGTTTTTGACTGCTGTATAGTATTCTATAGAGTACATGTCCCATAATTTCTTTATCCAGTCTACTGTTGATGGGCATTTGGGTTGGTTCCAGGTCTTAGCTATTGTGAATTGAGCTGCAATAAACATTAATGTGCAGACAGCTTTTTTGTTTGCCAATTTCATTTCCTTTGGGTAAATTCCAAGGAGTGGGATGGCTGGGTTGAATGGTAGGGTTATCTTCAGGTTTCTGAGGAATCTCCAGACTGACTTCCATAGAGGCTTAACCAGTTTGCATTCCCACCAACAGTGGGTTCGTGTCCCTTTTCCCCCACATCCTCGCCAGCATCTATTGTTGGTAGATTTCTGTATGTGAGCCATTCTAACTGGGGTGAGGTGAAACCTCATTGTGGTTTTGATTTGCATTTCCCTGATTGCTGGTGATCTTGAACATTTTTTCATGTGTCTGTTGGCCCTTTTGATTTCCTCTTTTGAAAAGTGTCTATTGAGGTCCTTGGCCCATCTCTCAAGTGGGTTGTTGGTTTTGTTTTTGTGGAGTTTCTTGATCTCTTTGTAGATTCTGGTTATCAACCCTTTATCTGTTGCATAGTTTGCAAATATTTTTCCCCATTCTGTCGGTTGCCTCTTCACTTTCCTGACTGTATCTTTTGAAGTACAGAAACTTCTCAATTTGATGCAATCCCAAATGTTAATTTTGACTTTGACTGCCTGTGCTTCTGGGGTCTTTTCCACAAAGTCTTTGCCAGTACTTATATCTTGCAGGGTTTCTGAACTCTACTAAGAGACTATTGGAACTCATAGAAGAGTTTGGCAAAGTAGCAGGATATAAAATCAATGCACAAAAATCAACAGCCTTTGTATACACAGGCAATGCCACAGCTGAGGAAGAACTTCTAAGATCAATCCCATTCACAATAGCTACAAAAACAATCAAATACTTTGGAATAAACGTAACCAAGGACGTTAAAGATCTCTACCATGAAAATTACAAAACCTTAAAGAAAGAAATAGAAGATACCAAAAAATGGAAAAATCTCCCATGCTCATGGATTGGAAGAATCAATATCATCAAAATGTCCATTCTCCCAAAAGCAATTTATAGATTCAATGCAATACCAATCAAGATACCAAAGACATTCTTCTCAGATCTGGAAAAAATGATGGTGAAATTCATATGGAGACACAGGAGACCTCGAATAGCTAAAGCAATCTTGTACAACAAAAACAAAGCCGGAGGCATCACAATACCAGATTTCATGACATACTACAGGGCAGTTGTAATCAAAACAGCATGGTACTGGTACAAAAACAGATGGATAGACCAATGGACCAGAATAGAAACACCAGAAATCAACCCAAACATCTACAGCCAACTTATATTTGATCAAGGATCCAAAACCAATCCCTGGAGTAAGGACAGTCTATTCAATAAATGGTGCTGGGAAAATTGGATTTCCACGTGCAGAACCATGAAGCAAGACCCCTACCTTTCACCTTACACAAAAATTCACTCAACATGGATTAAAGACTTAAATCTATGACCCGACACCATCAAATTATTAAGGATTTTTAATTTAAAAATACCAAGCTTTTAAAACTGCTTTAGCAGAAAATTTGGTCCTATAGGATGGCCCAGTATTATCTAAAGCCTTACTTTCATATTTAAATATTGTACTGATTCCTACCAATCTTATTTATGAGAACTTTCCATCTATCTTCTGCCTGTGGCTTGCATGTTTCAGTGGTGACATCTAAGTGTAGTGCCAATATTCCATCTTTCTGCAAACCTCTTTCTGCAGAATGAGCAATTCAGTTGGTTTGTGATTATGAATAATGAATTTCTGGGCCAGCACTGTGGCCTAGAGGGTTAACCCTCCACCTGCAGTGCTGGCATCCCATGCTTACTGCTGCATGTCTGATCCAGCTCCCTGCTGATGGCCTGGGAAAGCTGTGGAAGATGGCCCAAGTATTTGGGCCCCTGACCCACATGGGAGACCCAAAAGAAGCTTCTGGATCCTGGCTTTGCCCTGGCTCAGCCCTGGCTGTTGAGGCTATTTGTGGAGTGAAACCTCAAATGGAAAATCTTGCTCTCCCTCTCTCTCTCCTTCTCTCTGTATCTCTGTCTTTCAAATAAATAAATCTAAGAAACAAGAAAAACCCGCTACAACATTCTTATTTCTTTAAAAAAGCTAAATTAAAAATAAAAGAATAATGAATTTTTCCAACTGCTTAAAGTCTAATAACTTTGCCAAGACAGGTCTCAGTACTGGCACTTCATATCAGATTTTCCTGAGTTATGTTGTGTTCATTAAAGAAAGGTCTTCTTTTAGTGAAAAGTTTATCCTGCTATGAATTTTGAATTTTTCGTTTTCATTTCTTTCCCAAGAACAATAAACACAAAAGTGCTTCAGGCGCCAGATTCTGTCCTGGTTGCCCCTCTTCCAGTCCAGCTCTCTGCTGTGGCCCGGGAAGGCAGTGGAGTATGGCCCAAGTCCTAGAGCCCTGCACCCGCATGGGAGACCAGGAGGAAGCACCTGGCTCCTGGCTTCGGACTGGCGCAGCGCGCCGGCCATAGCGGCCATTTGGGGGGTGAACCAATGGAAGGAAGACCTTTGTCTCTCTCTCTCTCTTACTGTCTAACTCTGCCTGTCAAAAAAAATAATAATAAAAAGAGTGCCTCAAACAGTTTGTGGAAAAATGGAATCAAAATATGTTTTCTTTAGATGCAAATGTTCTGGAATGCACACACAGTTTTACACATTTTCCATGAGCTTTTGAAGGCTGCTCAGATGCCTGTATTAGATATCCTCTGTCCCATATCTGTAATTTTCTCCAAGCCTGTATCTGCTGTGCTCTGTTCATTTCACTTTGCTAGTTTTCTGTAGTCTCTGCAGCACAAACCTCCATTCAGATATCTAGGCTTTGAGTTGCTTTTGATGTAGTCTTCCTTTTTCTTCAGGTATTTTTCTTTCATTTCTTTTCTGAGCTCTTGCAGATCACTTTAAAATTCTTCTCTTATTTTATTATCATTTTACAAAGTGTATTTTTTGAACTCTTGCTTTATCAACTCTCTACTTAATTTCTTTGAAAGGAAATACATTTTTCCATTGTTTTCACCTGCTTTGTAACTTGATTTTATTTATTTATTTATTTGATGGGGAAAAGAAATTTCCTTTGTCTTTGTTTCTCAGGCTTTCTTATATTTTGAGCAAAGGACTGACACATAGAACCCATGCTGGTTCACACTTTTACTATTACTCAATTTAAGTGGGGCCACTGTGACAGGCCAGTTATACAAGATGTGTTGGATGGAAGGAGGCACCTAGTGTTTGAGCTGGGACGTTAGCTTAGCTCTCAGCCTTTCAGCTGGGGACATTTGGCCAGGAGCCACCTTCCCTCAGGTAGCAGGTGGTCAGCAGGCTTTATGAGGCAGCCTTGAAGGTCACAGCAGGGTGATGGGACTTTACGTTCATCAGCAGCTGCCTAGCTGTCACCCCGTTATGTTCTTCCACCCTCACAAAGGAATGTGTTGTTAATGAAATGTCTGAAGAGAGATAACTATATTAAACATATGAGGACATGGTGAAAAAAAACAACAAACCCTTTTCCCAAGGTTGTGAACATCTACACTGACCCTGGACTACAAGAACGTTGGCAAATGGAGAAAATCTGAGCACATGGATCCTGGTACAGAGGTGTTCCTGGGTGCTGAGGGCCTGCAGGGCAAATGCCTCCCCAGTCTGACCTCTATTGTGCATCAAAAACAAATAAAACTTGCCTTGGCCCTTTTGTCAAAAATCTCATTCTCTTGTGGATTAGGAGACGTCAAAGTATAAGTGACCCTGGACACAGCGTTTATGGAAAACTGTATCTGAGATGCTTGCTGTAGTGGAGGGAATGGCCTCAAGTCTGCTGAAGCAAAGGCTGCAGGGCTGTGCAGCCTTGGGTGTGAGTGGGGTGGATGGTATGGCACCTGTGTTTGTGAATTGGCTTTGTCCGGAGGACAGGTAAGTTTTCTGCCATCTTCATGGCAGGAAGTAGTTCTGCAGTCTGCACCAAGGCACCTGCTGAAGTTAGTTAGGCTCCTCTCCTGGCTCAGAGTCTGGGGGAGAGGAGTGCCACAGTCCTGGGCAGTGCCATGTCACAGGGGTGCCCTAGATCCCTGAGAAAGATTTCCCCTGAGCGTTGGGGCTGTCAGGAAGCTAGTAAGGAGAAGTATGCATGTTTCAAAGAAGATGGGGAAAGAATTTATAAATACAAATTCCCTATCATAGAAACTTTATTTTAGGATGAAGAAAAGGGGGAACTGGGGCCCTGGAATCAGAACCCTCCTCCAGTCTAGTCAAGCTGAGGACAATGTTAAGGCCCTCCAGGGACAGGGCTCCTCAGGTGGTTCTTCCCACCCCTTCCTTCCATTTTGTTGCCTCTCCCAGCTCATCTGCCTGAGCCTAGCCTCTGCACCACCTCTCCTGGGGTCACGCTGAGCCTTGGAGCCACATGGAGCCTGCAGAGTGGAATGGAGCCTGGGGAGCCTGCGGTGGAGGTATGGTTGTGTGAGCTGGCAGGGAGCCTGGGTGGAGGAGGGGCCAGGCAAGAGAAGAGCTGGGGACTGGAGAGCAGCCTGCTCCTCCCATCCCCTCACATAGGGCCCCACGTGGCTGAGGTCCCCAGCCTGCCTTCCTTTGCATTTCTGCTTTAAGCCTCTGTGCCCTCTTGCTGCAGGATCTGCTCCGGTCTGCCTGGGCAGTCAGAAGGTGGAGCAAAGGATGGGCTGGCAACAATCTCTGCCAGTCTTAGAAGCGTCCAGAATTCGTACCATTTACATCAATGACCCCCTGAAGAACATTTTCTGCCAAAACTGGATCAGGTGAGATAAGCGGATGTAGCTGGGAGGAGAGGAAGGAAGAAGTTCTGGTGCCCACTCCCGGTAGGTCTGCTCCTGTGACTGCATGCTAGGGCTGCGGCTGTTTCCTGCAGCCTTCAGGGAGTTCCGGTTCTCAGGTTCACTACCAACAACAGGTTCTGCTCTTACTTGTTTCTGCTCATGGCCGTGACCATGCAGCCCACTGCCGACTGACAGAACTCTGGCAGCTCTGTAAATATAAGCTGACCTGCTTTCCTAGGGCACCTCACACAGCTGCTGAACTCCCACGAGCATACTGATTAGGGCGACTGCACATTGAGCTTCTTAGGGATTCTCTCTCTGAGGAATTTGCTGAGCTGAGTTCTTACTGCAGAGGCAGAGTTAGATGAAAACTTGAAGGAAAGGAAACTATAAGTCCACCACAAAACACACCAAACACTGGAGTAAGGAAAAGGGTTTACTGATGGGGGAATCTGACAGGCCAGAGGGAGAGGGCGAAGAAGAGAGGGTGAAAAGGGGGAGAGGGGTCGAGAGAGAGAGAGAGAGAGAGAGAGGGAGAGAGAGAGAGAGAGAGTTCCTGTGTGGGAAGCAGCTCCTGTTGTACTCCTGCAGGGGGTAAGGAAGTGGGAGCAGCGAATCCCATTAGGCTGGGGGTGGAGCTGACACTTGTGGTTGGGCTGGTTGGTCGGTCAGCTGGCATCTAGTGAGTGAGGTTGGTGATGGGGCCAGAGCCTGAGATGGCACCACAGATAAGACACCCTTTTACTAACAGAAACTAATTTTTTATTATTTATTTATTTTCATAAACTTGAAAGGCAGAGCGTCAGTAAGAGAAAGAGAGAATGAATCTTCCTTCTGGTGATTCACTCCCCAAATGCCTGAAATAGCCAGGGCTGGACCAAAGAGACCACGAGCCAGGAACTCCTTCCTAGTCTCCCACATGAATGGTAGGAACCCAATTACTGGGAAATCATCTGCTGCCTCCAAGGATGCACCAGCAGGAAAAGCTGGATCAGCAGTGGAGCTGCTGGGACTTGACCTTGCACTCCAACATGGGGTGTGGGCATCCCAAGTGGTGCCACAATGCCCATCCAGAAGAAAACCACTGTTTCCCATTTTTTTAAAAAATTGACCTATTTATTTGGAAAGTGGAGTTCCAGAGAGGGAGAGGGAGAAGCAGAGGCAGAGGGAAGACTTCCATCTGCTGGTTCACTCCTCAAATGGACACTGGGGCTAGGCTGGATATAAGCCAGGAGCCAGCAGATTCTTTTTTTTTTTTTTTTTTTGACAGGCAGAGTGGATAGTGAGAGAGAGAGAGACAGAAAGAAAGGTCTTCCTTTTGCCGTTGGTTCACCCTCCAATGGCTGCCACGGCTGGCGCGCTGCAGCCGGCGCACCGTGCTGATCCGAAGGCAGGAGCCAGGTGCTTTTCCTGGTCTCCTATGGGGTGCAGGGCCTAAGCACTTGGGCCATCCTCCACTGCCTTCCCGGACCACAGCAGAGAGCTGGCCTGGAAGAGGGGCAACCGGGACAGAATCCGGCGCCCTGACCGGGACTAGAACCCGGTGTGCCGGCACCGCTAGGTGGAAGATTAGCCTAGTGAGCCGCGGCACCGGCTAATGTCTTCCTTTGCCGTTGGTTCACCCTCCAATGGCCGCTGCGGCCGGCGTACTGCGCCGGCGCACCGCGCTGATCTATGGCAGGAGCCAGGTACTTGTCCTGGTCTCCCATGTGGTGCAGGGCCCAAGTACTTGGGCCATCCTCTGCTGCACTCCCTGGCCACAGCAGAGAGATCAGCAGATTCTTCCAGGTCTCCCACATAGGTGCAGGGACCCAAGGACTTGGGTCATCTCCCATTGCTTTCCCAGGCACATTAGCAGGGAGCTGGGTTAGAAGTGTAATAGCTAGAACTCAAACTTATACCCATATGGGATGCTGGCACTGCAGATGGCATCTTAACCCTCTGTGCCACAGCACCAGCCCCTCAGCTCCTACTTTTTTTTTTTAACCAGCTTTAAGATCAGGTTGAATACAATAGCTGGGTAGTCTTTACATTTTTTGATTGTGAACTCATCCTATAGGTTAAAAATACACATCATCAACACGTAAACAAGAGTAATCTGTGGAGGTCCCAAATGAAGGCAAAGAGGGATTCTGAGGATTGGTGGGGCACTGAAGCAGGTGACTGCCCCAGGGCTCTGCCTTGTCCTGATGACCTAGAGTTTTGGTTTAAGTGTTTAGTCACCCGGAGCTGTGAAGCTAGAGCCCACACAGGGTGGAATACAGAGTCAGAGACCCTACCCCTGCAAAATCAAGACTTTGCAGGGCCACATTTAAATGAAGGGAGAATAAATTAAAAAAAAAAAATCTGCCTTAGGGGGATGGGGCAGGACTTTGGTGCAGTGGTTTCAAACCCTCTTGCAGGGCCGGTGCTGTGGCGCAGAGGGTTAAGGCCCCGGCCTGCGTTGCTGGCGTCCCATATGGGTGCTGGTTCATGTCCTGGATGTTCCACTTCCAATCCAGCTCCCTGCTAATGCACCTGGGAAAGCAGCAGAGGATGACCCAAGTGCTTGGACCCTTGTACCTATGTGGGAGACCTGGAAGAAGCTCCTGGCTTCAGATCAGCTCAGCTCTAGTTGTGCAGTAGCGGCATCTGGAGAGTGAACCAGGAGATGGAAGACCTCTCTCTCTCTCTGGCTCTACTTCTCTCTGTAACTGTCTTTCAAATAAATAAAATAAATCTTTAAAAATAAAAAAGATGACTCTTGGGACACTCACATGTCCTATTGGAGTGCCTGGGTTTGAGTCTCCACTCCCTGTTCCAGCTTCCCACTAATGTACACCCTGGGAGGCAGCAAATGATTCAGGTGCTTGAGTCCCTGCCACCCACATGGGAGATCCAGATGGAGTTCCTGGCTCCTGGCTTTTGTCTGGCCCAGCCTTAGTTGTTGTACTTACGGAGGGGACCAGCAGATAGGAGCTCTGTCTGTCTCTGTTTCTCAAATAAACAACATAAATAAAAAAAGTTTTAAAATCTGCGTTGGGATATGGTGTGGAAATTTGACTTCTCAAACTTGGCTCTGAGTTGAAGCAAAAAAAGCAAACAACAACAGAATGCATCATTTTAAGAATTATTCAAACACCCTGACCACCTTCTTACAGTTTTGATACCAGTGGAGTCCAGAAAAATTTAAGTGTAAAAACATATTTTAAAATGGAGCCAGGTCGCTGGCTCTGGCAGAAGCAAAGGCAGACCTTGTCAGGAGGAATTGCTTCATCAACTGAGGCCCAACACTTCCCAGGGAGAAAGTGTGCTCAATCACGAGCCATGAACACCTGCATGGAGGAGAGCAGGGCCCCCTTGGTGAGAGGCAATTGAGAGAATGAACAATGAGAAGATTTCAGGTAGTGAAATCACAAGTACAGCATCAAAATAAGAATATTTCCTACTAAACGTTTAAGATAATGTGTTTAAAGGAGTCCAAAGAACAGGCTGCAGCAGATTTGTAAAAGAAACAAAATATGATCAACTTTTAAAAAAAAACCTCAATGGATGGAGTCAAAGACAAGGGAGATGAGGGACATACAGAGCCCTTGTGAGAAACTACTCCTGACCCAACAGAGACCACTGAAGACATGGAGGAGTGTTTCAGAAACATGAATACCAGAGTTAGCAGCTGAACCTGTATAAAATCAGAAGTCCAAATGAGAGAATAGAGAGGATGAGCCAGACATATTCAAAGAAACTATGGCCAAAACTTTTCCAGGACAAATGAGAGAGGAATCCTAAAACCCAGGAACCCCAATGAATCCCTAGCACATTAAATGAAAAGAAATTCATACCTAACCATGTGACACACAGAATAAGTGAGAGTATTGGTGTTGACCAGTATATTAAATATTAATAACATCTACTTTTAGATTAAAACATACAAATAGAGTTTTTAGCACTTTTTTCAGTGAACTACTCAGGGTATCTCATTTTAGGTGACAACTACTCCAGATCTGTCTTTTTCAAAATTATCTAAAAGGTGGAAACAGAGAAAAACATATTTTCCACCTACTGGTTCACTCCCCAAATGCCCACAACAGCCAGAGCTGGGCCAGGGCAAAGTGAGGAACCTGGAATTCAGTCCAGGTCTCCCATGTCAAGACCCCAGGTACTTGATCTTCATCTGCTGCCTCCCAAGGTGCACATTAACAGGAAGCTGGATTGGAAGCAGAGCTGGGACTTGAACTTCGGCTCTCCACTATGGGCTGTGGGCATTCCACAGGGTAATTTAACAGCTGCACCAAATGCCCACCACCTTGGCTCTTTTTTGTACTATTTTTTTCTGACTGGTGAAGGACGTTATTAACCTGTTTTACAGTAGGTGGAACGGTGGCAGGAAAAAGGTATCATTTGCCCTTGGTCTCCTGGCCATTCAATGGCAGTACCAGAATAAAACACCATGCCTCTTAGATCTCAAAATCCATTTTCTTTCTCTCTCTCTATATATATACATACACTATATATAATATATAGTATATATATGTTATATAATTATATATTAATTATATATGATATATAATTATATAATATATATTAAATATTTATTTTATTTATTTGAAAGACAGAGTTACAGAGAGAGGTAGAGACAGAGAGAGAGGTCTTCCATCCGCTGGTTCACTCCCCAGATGGCCGCAATGGTTGGAGCTGTGTCGATCCAAAGCCAGGAACCAGGAGCTTCTTCTGGGTCTCCCATGCAGGTGCAGGGGCCCAAGGACTTGAGCCATCTTCCATTGCTATCCCAGGCCATAGCAGAGAGCTGGATTGGAAGAGGAGCAGCCGGGACTAGAACCAGCGCCCATATGGGATGCTGGTGCTTCAGGCCAGGGCTTTAACCCACTGTGCCACAGCGCCAGCCCCAAAATCCATTTTCAATTCTTACTAACCGGAATCTCTAGTTATAGATATTAGTAGCTTCTTAAGCATAACAGCAGTTCTTACAACCAATCAGAGAAATTTATATCCATGAGGAATCTCTCAGATTATCCACAGTGGAAGCAGGAGAAGCAGAGATGTTGACTAGTGTAGGGATCTAGTCCAGGATCCAGAGTTAGATGGAACCATGGTATCTGGACAGTCTCATGCCCTTTCCTTTTGAAATTTATTATGGGAACAGTTATGAGTGGGCTTTTATAATGAAAGCTAGTTTTAAAATTATTCACCCAGGGGCTGGTGTTGTGGTCTAGCAGGTTAAGCTGCCACCTGTGATGCTGGCATCACACATGAGTGCTGGTTCAAGACATGGATGCTCCACTTCTGTTCCAGCTCCCTGCTCCTGGGAAAGCAGCAGAAGATGGCCCAAGTGCATGGGCCTTTGCCACCCTCATGGGAGACCTGGATGAAGCTGCTGGCTCCTAGATTCGGCCTGACTCAGTCCTGGCCGTTGCAAGCATTTAGGAAGTGAACCAGAGAATGGAAGATGTCTCTCTGTCTCTCCCTCTCCCTCTCCCTCTGCCTTTCAGATAAATGAATAACTAAATCTTTAGCGAATTAACAAACAAAAATTATCCTTTTAATTTATTTTAAAGTGTTTACAGATGAAATTATGATAATTTGGGAGGCTAGCATTGTGGCACAGCGCGTTAAACTGCCGCTTGTGATGCTGGCGTCCTGTATGGGTACCAATTTGAGTCTTAGCTGCTCCGTTTCTGATCCAGATCCCTGTTAATGTGTCTGGAAAAACAGTGGATATGGCTCTAGTGCTTGGGCACCTGCACCCATGTGGGAGAACAGGTGGAGTTTCATGCTCCTGGTTTCATCCTGGCCCAGCCCCAGCCCCAGCCCCAGCTGCAGCTGTTACAGTCGTTTGGAGAGTGAACCAGAGGATGGAAGATCTCTCAATCTCTCTCCCTCTGTCTCTCTGGCTCTCTCTCTCTCTCTTTATATATATATATATATATATATATATATATATATATAAAATATATATATATATACATGCACACATACACATATATGTTCAAAAATATTATTAAAAATATATATGTCTGTCTCTCCCTCACTTTCTGTCATTCTGCCTTTCAAATAAATCAGTAAATCTTTAAAAAAGATAACAGTTTGGAAGCGGAGCTATTGGGGGCATGGACAAGATGTAATTAATTGTCCGTGTAGTCGATAACTGTTGAAGCTGGGCGATAAGTAGCAGGGCTCATTATCAATTCTCCTCTTCTTTGCGTATATTTTAAAGTTTCCACAATAAAAAAAGCATTTAAAAATTAGCTGGTCAATGAACACATTTTTGGTGAAATCCATGTGTCATTGGGCTATTGTACATTACAGGAGGTGAGAAACACCAACTGCCAGGCTCTCTTTCACAGGGCTTAAAACAGCTCTTCCTTCCCAATAGTGTGTTTGCAGAGTGTGTCTTAACCTCCATGCATGTTAACCTTATTTTGCTTAATGTGGCCTGAGGCCCAAGACTAATATTTGGCTTTACTCAAGTAGTAGAATTTTAAAACAAATTAAAAATAGTTTGAGCTGGGGCCGGCGCTGTGGTGCAGTGGGTTAAAGCCCTGGCCTGAAGCGCCAGTATCCTATATGGGCGCCGGTTCCAGTCCTGGCTGCTCCTCTTCCGATCTAGCTCTCTGCTATGGCCTGGGATAGCAATAGAAGATGACCCAAGTCCTTGGGCCCCTGCACCTGCATGGGAGACCTGGAGTAAGCTCCTGGCTACTGGCTTCGTATTGGCGCAACTCCGGCCATTGCGGCCATCTGGGGAGTGAACCAGCAAAAGGAAGACCTCTCTCTCTGTCTCTACCTCTCCCTGTAACTCTGTCTTTCAAATAAATAAAATAAATCTTAAAAAAACAGTTTGATCTGGTGGGTTTTGGAGAGAGGAATCTCTTCTAGAAAGAGGTGTTCTCTACCATTAAGGGAAAAACAGGACTTAAGGGTGTGTGTGTGTTTAAGATGTAGTTTATCTATTTGAAACACAGAGGGAGAGAGAGAGTGAGCGAGAGAAAGACACACACACACACACACACACAGAAATAGAGATCTTCTATCCACTGGTTTACTCTCAGATGGCTACAACAACCAGTTCTGGGCCAGTCCAAAGCCAGGAGCCAGGAGTTCCATCCAGGTCTCCTACATGGGTGCAGAGGTCCAAGCACTTGGGCTATCTTCTGCTGCTTTCCCAGGTACATTAGCAGGGAGCTGGATCAGAAGTGGAGCAGCCCAGACTGGAATCAGCACTCATAAGGGATGTTGGCATCACAGGCGGAGGCTTAACCTGCTGCACCACAGCGCCAGCCCCCACTCTCTAGTTTTTGATCCTTAGTTCTCCACATCCACTGTATTCACAGCACTTAGTTTCTCAGATGGGGACCATTATTCCTCCTTTATTCTGACAGTGTTTTTGGGGGACTGTGAGTGCTTTCAGAAAGCACAAAATGGCTTGAGGAAAAGATCTGTGTTTTATGACTGTGTTGTATTTTTAATCCACCTGTGATTTATGATGAGTTCTTTGTGTTTTCCATTCATGTTCTTAGAGTCTAGATTGTCAACTGACAGTGGTATTTTCCTTCCTACCCACAGCACAGCCAAGTACAGCCTGTGGTCCTTTCTCCCTCGATATCTGTACCTGCAGTTTAGCAAAGCGGCCAATGCTTTTTTCCTGTTCATTGCTATATTGCAGGTAATATTTTAAAATTTTAGATTGAGATCCTTAAGCAGTCTTAAGAGAACACTTATAAAAAGCCCACTTAATTGAAATAATAGTTTGATGTACATAAAGCATTTAAATACTATAGGAAAGGAATCCTCTTACAATGGCTAAGTCATACAGTGAAACATAATTTTTGGACTGAAAAAACAGGTGGATGCATAATCAATGAATTTGCCTGCAGTTTGTCTTGATCAAGATCTTTAATGAGATCTTATTGGAGTGATTTTGGTCACCTATACCACTGCCATAATGGAATAATTTTATAACATCTTGAAGGAATAATTTAAAGGAAACTCAAATACTAGCTTAAAATAGCATCTTTTCAAAAGAGTTGAGTTCAATACTTTCCATAATCTATTTCATTCTTGTTTGTGAAACCTTACTTTGAGCATGGCCCCCACAATCCAATTACGTAACTCATCTCACAGTTACCCAGCTGTCTCTCTCTTTGCAGGCCTTGGCCTATATGACCACCTAAACCTGTAAACCAGTCTGGCTAAATGCCACCCATTCTTGTAGAAGCCCAGCTTAAAACTATCCTCCAAGTTTTCCCAAATGTCACAGCCCGTCATGATTTCTCCTTTCTCTAAATGTCTATAACAATAATCTGTGCTAAGGGAAGGTACTTTAAAAAGATCCTGGACAAGGGGAATAAAAAGGTGTTTATTTTGGGGCAAAAGTTTTTTTGAAAGTCATGCTCAGTTTATTCATAATGTACATTTCCAATGAAATTTTTGAAGGCTCCTTATGTGTGTGGGTTTCAAAAAAATTGCTCCAAATAGGCCTAGCTTTTAATTTCATTTTTATAGACTTTAAGTATACATCTATATTGTAATTAGTTTTATTTCTCCCAGCAGACTGTAAATTCCTTGAAATAGAAAGAGTGTCTCTGAAACTGCCAAGCTTTGGGATAGGAATTCAATAAACTTGCTGAATTGACCTTAAGCAAAAGGATTCAGTTCAGTAAACATTTACAGAGGCCACATAACTTGCATCAAAATCTGTCCACGGAATCAAAAATTCAAGGATGAATTATTAGATTTGGCTCCTGCCCAGGGAGAGTTCAGAGTCTTATATACGAATGCTTTAAGACATGTTTATAAAGGAACAAGGAATGCACTTGGCTTGGGGAAAAGCCCCTGAAGTGCTCGTGAATGGGCCACACGTTAGACGAGGAGGAGCGCAACAGGGTGTTGGGGGCCAATGAAGGACAATTTTGAGGTACAAGAGACAGCGAAGCACATGGAAATGAGGAGCATCTCTCACCTTCTTGGAGGAGGATCAAGAACTGAGGGGAAATGTCATTGTGTTTATTTTGAATTGTGAAATATTTAAATGTGTTACCTATTCAAAAATGAATAAAACACAAGTAAGAAGTATTAAATTTTTCTCTAGTATGTGAAATGCTCTGGAAACAGCAAAGATCTTGCTTTTGGAACATAGTCTAGAGTAAAAGAAGCCAAAGTGTTAAGTGGGGCCGTGTTATCAAGAGGCCAGAGTGGTACCTTCTGAAGCTTGGGCATCACCCTGAGGGTGAGAAGGTCATGGCAGTTATGCCCAGCAAAGTGTACAGCTCTGGGTGTCCCTAAAGGAGGAAGAGGCAGGCAGAGGTCCTTGGGATAAGATACCAACTTGGACTATAGCACAGGGACAAAGAGAAGAGGGAGAGATACAAAAGGTGTTAATCATATGCCACATGACAGCATTTGAGCCAGCAACAGACAGTGTGTATGATGATGGTCCCACGTATTATATCACCAAGTGACTTCATAGCAAGTTAGTTTATGAGGCTACTATCGATGATGTTTGCACCATGATGACATTGCCTAATGACACATTTCTCATTACGTGATGCACGACTGTGTTTCAAAGCAGAGTAAATTGGTAGCTGAAGCACTTTATTTTTCTCCTGTTTTAAACAGTGGCAATAGACCTTGAGTACTCTCCACAATTAATTTGTACCTAGGAAAATTTACTCTCCTGGGCCTCTACAGAATTTCTTCTCTGCCTCAAAAAGAAATATGATTCAGTTAAGATGGCTGACTATCTGGATTGGACTGTTTTGAAAAGATGCTATTGCTAACTAACACTTAGGTGTTGAACTATTTCTTTGAAAATAATTTTATCCTACAAGGTAACACAGTGACTGAAGTGTTTTTAAACAGTTGCACTGGTGACTTTTCCTTAGTGGGATATTCAGAGTCACACTAAAGGAGTGGGTTTGAGGAGCTAAGAGTTTCCTTCCCCTTGTTAATGTGTGTTTTTCCTTCATGTCCTGGGCCTTGCCATTAGTAGCATGACTTTGAGTGTGAGAAAACTATGGCAAGGATCTGTCATAAACCTAATGGTGCAATTCTAATTGTTTTGCAGCAAATTCCAGATGTGTCTCCAACAGGAAAATATACAACTCTCTTGCCTTTGATGGCTATTCTTACTATTTCAGGCATCAAAGAGATTATTGAAGATTATGTAAGTTTGCTGATATGCAATGAAATTTTCTCAAAACCAAAAAGTTCATGAAAAAAATGGAATTAAAAGTTTGGGGGTATTTAGTCTAGTTATTAGGATGTCCATATCCCATATCAGAATGCCTGGGTCTGATGCCCCACTCTGGCTCCTATCTCCAGCTTCCTGTATACCCTGGGAGGTGTTGGTACAAGTGATTGGCTTCCTGTCACTCATGTGAGAGTCCTGGATTGTTTTCTCAGCTCAAACTATGACCTGGCCCAATCTCGGCCATCATGAGCATTGCGGGGAGTGAACCATCAGATGGGAGCTTTTACTGTCTGTCTATACCTTTCAAAAACTATTTTTTAAAAAAAAAATTTAGCTACCCTTGTAGGTATAGATTTCAGAATGCCTCTGCACCAAGATAAACTTATCTTTTTGTTCCATTTCTGTGAACTTCCTTTTTTTATTTATTTATTTTACTTATTTTGAAAGTCAGAGTTATGGAGAGAGAGAAAGAAAAAGAGAGACAGAGAGACAAAGAGAGAAATATTCCATCTATTGGTTTACTCCCCAGATGGCAAGAATGGCCAGTGCTGGGTCAGGCTGAAGCCATGAGCCAGGAGGTTAATCTGGGTCTCCCACATGGGTGGCAGGGGCCCAAGCACTTGGGCCATCCTCTGCTGCTTTTCCAGGCCATTAGCAGGGAGCTGGATTGGAAATGGAACAGCTGGGACATGAACTGAGGCCTATATGGGATGTTGGGCTCACACGTGGCAGCTTTATCCACTATGCCACAATGCTGGCCACTCCTTGAACTTTTTGAAGTTCCTTTGTATAAGCTAAAATTTTAAGGAACTGCTTACTATGTATGAGGCACACTGTACTGTTGAGTGTATGTGCATGTGTGTATGTTTATACTCACTTAAATTGAGGCACAGACAGGTCCATGACTGACAAGGCTGTACCACTAGAGGCAGTCCTGGGATGTCAACAGCAAGCTGGCTTCCAAGCCCACACTTAGTCTCTTGACTAGACTCCCTTCCATTGGTCACATCTTGGTGTAGGAAATCATGTAGGCACAAATGAAATGGAAATAAATTTCAGCCTACAAAGATTTTACAATTAGTTCAGCTGCTTCTATTTCTTAAACTTATGTTTTGTATTATGAATTGAATTACTAATTTTTGAACTTTTGAGGTAATGAGCTTTTTCCCCTCCATAACAGAGACGACATATGGCAGACAGATTAGTTAACACAAAGAACACAATAGGTAAGTGTTTGGGTTAATATTGTGTGCCAACTTGACATGGGTACAGAGTGCTCAGATGTTTTGTCAAATGCTGTTCTGAGTGTATGTGAAATATTTTAGATGAGATGAACATGTATGTGGGTAGCCTAAATAAAGAAGGTTGCCCTCCATGATAGGGTTGAGTCCCACCTGATCCATGGAAGGCCCAAGTAGAACAGAAAAGGGCAGACCATTTCCTGAATAGGAAGGAATTCTTCCTGGCTGATGGCCATCACACTGGAACATGAGCTTTTTCACTGGAACTGAAACACTGGCTCCTCCTGGGTCTCAAGTTCGCTGGCATTTGGACTTGAACATACCATTGGGTCTCCTGGGTCTCCAGCTTGTCAACTCCCCCTGCAGATCTCGGGACTCACCAGCCTCCACAATTGCATGAGCCAGTTCCTTATCATCAGCCTCTTCCTGTTCTAAGTGGCTTCAGAGGAACAGAATTTGGAAGATGAGGTTTCTGAATGGGTTCCATGGACTTTTTTGGAGTTGTCTTTCTCATCTGTTTAAATTTAAAAACACTGCTACTCCCAGTACTAAAGAGAGCACTGATAGTCCATGCTGTGATCCGGCAATACAGATATACAATATATCACTTGTAGATAATCCTCATCAATCACATCTCAGGAGTGAAGATCTGGGTGACCGTGTAGAACACCTTCAGACGTTTTTGTCAAACTGACAACTATGATGAAGTTGGCAAGCTGCTCCTAATGTCACTGGACAAGGCAAAGAAAGAAAAGAGAGAACTCAGGGATTTGAATTCCCTGCTCAAGAACCACATAAATGCCCTGAAAGCTTTTATGTGTCCCCTGAAAGATACCCTTTTCTCTTATAGCTGTGGGGCTGAGATTGCTGAATGCCAAACCCAGAATCTCATCCTAAAAACTGGCTGAATTACAACACAGGTTAGACACCAAGGCTTTCAGAGTGTCTACTTTTAAAATGGGAAGAAGTAGGATTCTGAAAATTGTGTTAAAATAAAAACCTTAGCAAATTAAATTTAGCAGAGTTTAACTGAGCAAAGAACAATTCATGAATCAGGTAGTCCTCAAAACCACAACAGGCCCAGAGAACTCTGCCCCGCAGTGTAGTCAGGCAGCATTTATGTTTAGAAAACAGAAGGTACAGATATTGTTCAATTGGTAGTAGCTTAGGGTTTTGCCTTATTTGAGTCAGTTGACCACCTGTGATTTACTGAAGCTTGACTGCCATCATTGTCCTCAGCTATTTGTTACAAGACTATGATCCTAAGTTAGGCTTTCAGTTTAGTTTATGTACACAGCGTGAAGTCTGTTACATAAGTACTCAGTATGGAGGCCTCCTCAGGCCAAACTTAGTTAAATGTAATAGTTGAAATGGAGATGCTTGGGAAGGCCCTTATGAAGCTGGAGACCTTGAATTCATAAATTCTGATGAGTTTTCTTTGCCAGTAGAAGCAGTTATGCTCTCCTAATGGTACCAAGCTCTCTATCCATATTAGTATCAACCTCTGCACCCAGTGGTATCAGCCTTTCCACCACAGTTGGAGGGGATTAAACTTGCATACCTGGGAAAACTTAATGAGGCAGTTATCTCACAAAACTATGCTGATTCTCATTGAGACCTACCCTGTGACTACTCTAGACTCACAGCTAGACTTAAATCCCAGATCAGACCCTTAGAGGTGAAGCACAGTGGGTGACTTGTGGTAAGGTTCACTACATTCCAGAATAACTTCTATAGGCATAAATCCAGGGAACATGTGTGAGAATCAACATTAAAGGTGTAGGGTAATGATTGGAGGAATGTAGCATGGAATCAGGCTGAATTTATCAACATGGATACATTAAACAGAGAGTCTGCATTTAATGTCAAAGAATCTTGGGGAGTGACTGGTTTTTAGTTGGTTGAAACATGGACCAGAAGATGGTCTACAGTAATGAAATGCCAAAACTGCCTTGGTTTAATGTAAAAGAAGGGATTCAAATGCTTAGGGTGATTGGAATGCTAGAATGAATTTGTCATATAAGACCTATTCCCTCCTGCCCTCCTCTGAATGGTCCAGAAGACATTTGTTTCACTAAAACTGAGAAAGAAGTTTGTGAGGAGAGTCTCAGCATCCTTGCAGAGTTCTTTGATCACTCTTCCATGTAGGCCAGACATTACAGTGGGAACTACAGAGACTACATTGGGAAACCTAAATACAATGGGAATAATTGAATCCCAGGGTAGCAAGGGTCAAGTGTCAGCATTAAACCACCAAAGGCAGAGTGAAATTATCAAGGATGGACAGATGGACAGCAGAGTCAGAGCAGCAACCAATAGTCTGACTCCTAGAAACCTGTGATGTTGGCTAGTTGATGAGATGGGAAATACATAGGAGGCTGTCTTACGCAGCTTTTCATTGCAACAACAGCTCCTTGAGAAGAGCTTCTTAGGAAGGTAGAATGTTTATTTTTGGCTATAGTTTTGGAGATTCACAGTTTAAGATCAAGTGATCTAATTTGTCTGACATCTGATGAGAGTGGTGTATAGCAGAATGTGAGGATCACATGTTAGCTCAAGAAGCGCGTGCGCGCGCGCGCACACACACACACACACACACAGAGACAGGGAGAGAGACAGAGACATAGAAGCACAATTACGCCAGCCTTGGTTTATATAGCCAATCCTCCAGACAGAACTACTTTCTGAAGGCTTTCCCCTAATGGCCTAAGGCTCTCCCAGTAGGCCTGTCTCCCAGGCAGCATAATAGCCTCCATCCTTAATCCATCAATCCATGACTCTGGGAGTTCAAACAACAACGTGAGTTGGGTAGCCAAAAACACAGAAGAGATTTATTCTTACTTGATCTATGCAAATGTAAGTAAAACCTGAATGGTAGAAACAGAGACTCATGGTCCCTCAACCAACTTCCAGACTTGAGTCAACTTATAGACCAGAACTCCATGGATACAGGGGAAGCTGGAGCCCCTTAAGGAAGAACCCATGCACACTGCCAACGATTTATACTCTTAGTTTTTCTCCTGGGCTTCCCAAAAGGAGCACTACAGCCTCTTACCAGGATGCATTGATGAAAAGGAAATATTCAGACCTTTTGGGAGCCATGGGACACTGGGTCTGAACTAGCATCAAGTCCAAAATGTCACTGTGGCTCTCCAGTCAGAGGAGCAGTTCATACAGACCGGGTGATCTATGGAGGTTTTGCTCACATCTGTCTCACAGGTGGTTCAGTGGGTCTCCTAAACCAACCTGTGATTATTTCCTGGGTTCTGGAATGCATGGCCCAAGGAGACAGACTCATAAAGTTGGCAGATTTCTCACATTGGTTCTCTAAAGGAGGTCTGTTATGGTGGAATAGCCAAGTGGAAACCACTAGTAATGCCTTTACTGGGAAAATAGTAAATAAGAAAGCAATGGTTCATTCCTAGAGGGACTGCAGAGATAAGTGCCACCATCAAGGCGTTGAAAGATGCAGGGGTGGCAATGCCTACCACATCCCCATTCAGCTCTCCTGTTTGGCCTGTGTAGGAGACACAGGGACATTGGAGAACGAGTGTGCATCATCACAGCTTAATCAGGTGCTGACTCCAGTTCCAACTGCTGTCTCAGATGTGGTTTCATTGCTTGGGTAAATTAACATATCCCTTGACCCCTGGTATGCAGCTACTGATTCAGGACCTGACTTTTCTCTATCTGTATATAAAAAGACCACAAGAAGCACTTCACGTTTCAGTGAAGCAGGGCCTTCACTGTCCTACCTCAGGGGATATCAACACACCAGCCCTATGTTATAATTTAGTTCACAGGAACCTTGAGTAAACTTCCTTTCTAAAAAACAGGATCTCAGTCCATTATATTGATGACATGCTGCCTGGACTAAGTGAGCAAGCAGTAGTGGTCACTCCAGACTTTTTGGTAAGACATTTGCATGTCAGAACATGGGAAATTAATCTGACCAAAATTCAGGGGCCTTCTAGTTTGTTGAAACATCTAGGGGGTCTAGTGGAATGGAACATGTCAAGATATACGCCCTTCTTTTTAAAACCAGAATAGACACTTAATCTGGATATGGATTTGCCTTCTCTGCATGTAGTACTTCTGCCCAAATTACTGTATTCTATGCAGCATTTCTTCTTACCGAACACCTCACTTCACAGTGAACAAAGTGCAGCAATGGGTCTCTGCTTGTGTAATTTGCTGCTCTTACCACATTCTCCACCATCTTGAGAGCTGGCTTGGTAGAGCAGTGGAATGGACAATAGTTTGAAGAGCTGGATCATGGTTCTCCAGGAGGCTCTGAATTGGTGTTCAATCTATGTCATATGGTGCTGTTTCTACCATAGCCAGGATTCACACGAGCATGAATCAGGCAGTGGAAATGGAAGTGGCACCACTCGCCATTATTCCTAGTGGTCTACCAGCAACATTTCTGCTTCCCAGCATTGTCAACTTTACATGGTGGCATTTAAGTTATGGGTTGTAAAGAAGAGGAAGCAACACTCAAGGGCATTCCAGCTTCCTGCTGATACATATCCTGGGAGACAGCGAGTGATAGCTCAAGGGATTGGGTCCCTGCTGCCCGTGTTGAAGACTTGGAATGGGTTCTTGACTCCTGGCTTTGGCCTGGCCCAGCTCTGGCTGTTGTGAGCATTTAGAGAGTGAAATGGTAGATAGATGATCTCTGTCTATCTCTGCCATTCAAATAAAATGAAAATAAACAAAAGTAAAACAGTTCCCATATATTAGAATCAATAATTATGTTAATTTGAATAAAATAAAAAACAAGGGGCTCCCACTCTCATAGCCATTGTGGTACACTGAGCTTCATAGAGACAGTGCCAGGAAACGGGAGAGCCAGGTGGGCACTGGGCGACTGTGCCTAGCTGAAGAAAAATAACTAAATATGGGTAAAGGATATCCTAAGAACCTCAGAGGCCAAATGCATCAGGTGCATTCTTTGTGCAAACTTGCTGGGTGGGATACAGGAAGAAACACCTGGATGCTTCCGTCAGCTTCTGTTTTCTAAGAAGCGCTAAGAGAAGGGAAGATTTGAAGACACAGCAAAGGCAGACAAGGTAGTTATGAAAGAGAAATAAAAACCTAAATCACTCCTAAGGGGGAAATGAAAAGAAATTCAAGGATCCCAACGCACCCAGGAAACCTCCTTCAGCCATTTTCTTGCTCTGTTCTGTGTATTGCCCAAAAATCAAAGGAGAACATCCTGGGCTACTCATTGGTGATATTGCAAAGAACCTGGGAGAGTTGTGCAATAACTCTGCTGCAGATGGGAACAGGCTGCTAGGCTGAAGGGAAAATACAAAAAGGATATTGCTGCACACTGAACTAAAGGAAAGCCTGATGCAGCAAACGAGGGCTGGAAAGAGCAAGACAATGAAGGAAGAGGAGGAAGAAAAAGAGGATGATGAATAAGCACAGTTTTTATTTCTTATCTATAAAGCATTTAACCTCCCTGTACACACCTCACTCCTTTTAAAGAAAACTATTGAAATGTAAGACTGTATGAGATTGATTTTTAAACTGTACTCTCTCTTTTTTGTATAGTTAACACATTACCAAATGTGTCTTTAGATAGCCTTGTCCTGGTGGTGTTTCCACTAGCCACTAACCTGGCCTGGTACAGTGTGGGGGTTGTAAACTGGGATGGACATTTAAAGCAAGTTCTTATTGGTACATATGGGGGTGGTAGTTTTTTCATTTTCAGTCATCTCTGATGCAACTTATATGAAATAATTGTTCTGTTAAGTAAATACCACTCTGTAACTGCAAAAAAAAAAAGTTGCGGCTGTTCTGTTGACATTTGGAATATTTCTAAGTAAACACAATTTTTTATTAGTAAAAAAACCAAAATAGGTCAGGACATGAACAAGTATGTCCATAAAAACATCTGGGTGTTATATATGCTCTCCCACTCCTAGTTTTGATAGGTGCTGTCTCTGTGATTGATTAGAAATATAATTACTTTTCAGGTTATCAACCAGTATCCCAGCATGTAACAACAAAGTGTTTTCTCTTTAGGACTGGAAATGACTTAATGTAGCCTCTATCTATCTATCTATCTATCTACCAATCATTATATAAAGTTATGTTATGATACCATACATATATGTAACTCCATTTTAGTACAGTGCATACAAACACAATATACATACTCTTGCAGTCAAATGAACAAAGATAATAGTTTATAAAGAAATCCATTTAGTTTTGGAAAACATAACTTTTATTATTTTGAACTTTCCCTCATGCAATAATTAGAATTAAAATATAGCTTTCTTTTTCAGTGTTAAGACAGGATTCCTGGTACTCAATTATGTGGAAAGAGGTAAGAATATGTTACAACTTTCTATACAGCACCTATTTTGTGTTTGAAGTCACAGATTTTTATCTGTGTGGAACGTGTCTTCAGGAACCCCAATATTATCCCCATTTTGTAGATGAGGAAGTCGAGGATCAGAGAGTAAGTGTCTGGTTCAAGTGGTGAAAGTGTGATTTGAACTCAAATCTAGCTAGAAGTCTACATGCTTGCTAATCGACCATGGTATGATCTGCACCACTGCGTAGAGCATTCAGGGATAATGCGCCAAAAATGCTGCGCAGGTGCAAGTCAGCTCTTAGACGATGCATGCCTCAGGGAGTGCTGTCAGGAACACAGACCCTGCTACTGGCCTTAGTTCACTCAGCCGCTGTAACCGACACTCAGGCAGGGTGACTCGGAAACAACAGAAACTTACTTCTTGCCTTCTGGAGGCTGGGATGTCCACACCCAGTGCTGGCGGTTTCTGGTGAGGGTCTGCTTCCCCACAGATGCTGTCTTCCAGTCAGGTTCTCCCATGGTGCAAGGGCAAGGCAGCTCCCTGGTGCCTCCCTGGTAAGAGCCCCAATCCCATTCATGGGGGATGCACCTGCAGGACCTAATCACCTCCCAGGGGCCTCAGCTCTTACCACCACCACATGGCGAGGTTGGGAGTTCTGTTTCAACTTATGAGATTTAGGGGAACACAGACATTCAGATCATGGCAGAATATAAACTGAAGGCATCCTGAATGCACTGGGGCTAGACATTCACTATCAATACACTGACAATCAATAAATAATTGAAAACCCATGTGAAATGTCTTAGAAAGCTAACTCTAAGAATGTTTTGGTTTCTAAGTAGCATCAACATTTCTTTCCCTGAATGATGATCGTATTTTGTGCTTCTCACTGGGACTCAGAGAAGCCATTGAGAGCCTCCGTTTCTGGTGGCAGAGTCACAGTCTGTTTCCTGTGGGAGGGAGGCAGGGGAGAGGGGAGGAAGTGGGGCTGCAGTGGTGGGCTTCCTGTCCAGGGGGCTCCTGTGCTTGAAATCTAATTTGCCACCAGTGTCTGGCACTGGCAGAACAAGTTAAGCAGCCAAAGCCAGGGACCTGAAATTCTTGTCCCTCTCAGTCCTCTGTGTACTGTCTGCCTGGTACAATCAAAAGGAGTCCTTCAAACTCAAAAAAAAAAAAGGAAGAAGGGTGAATTTGGGGGTGCTGTAGACAGACAAGAAAAGGGGGGTTTATAAAAACGGGGTCCTGACTGCCCTTGCACAAGGCTGCTGTCAGGTCCACAGGTGCTTGGTTTTCTACATCAATATTGTTTTGGGGGAAAATCTGGTTTTAATTGCATAGGTTCACTTTGTCTCCTGATGGCCTTTGCTAGCCCGTTTCCTGTATGTTGTTTGTGTTGGTTATTATGGTATTATTTACTGCATTGTGAACATTTTAATAAGATGTGACTGTTTTCTCTTTCTTGGTTCTCCCATGTTGAACTTGTCCTTCCTGTCTTTAAAGACACGTGGTAGCTTTTAAGATTCTCTCCTCACTTTGATATAGGAGTGCATTTGGCCCTCCAGGCCTTCCATATCCTCAGGTTCAACATCTGCAGATTTAACCAAGTATAGATGGAAAATATTTGAAAAACAACTTTGCATCTGTACTGAATATATAAAGACCTCTTTGTTGTCAGCATTCCCGAGACAGTATAGTATAACAGCTATTTGCACAGCATTTCCATGGTACTAGGAATCTGAAGTTATCCAGAGATGGTTTGAGATTTACTGAAGAATGTGTGCAGGTTCTATGCCATTTTATATAAAGGACTTCAGCGTCCATGGATTCTGGTATCTGTGGGGGTCCTGGAACCAATTCCCCATGAATACCAAGGATGTTTGTATTTAATTAATCTGTAGCTCAATTAAGATAGAAATGATCTGCTTAATCATATTATAAAAAGAAAAACCTGGTCTGCTTGTTCTTTTTTGTTTGTTTTGCTCAGCAATATATTTTCAGGATATGTCCAGAAGTGGGTTTAGGAAAGCATTTTGACCACATGCTTGTGTAGCTGCTTAGGAAGGGCCTGCAATTTTAAGCCTTAGGTCATCACTACTCAACACAGTGTAAGGGCTCAAATGGCTTGTTAAAGCATAAGCACGGAAGAGCTCCCAATGCTTTCTCCATGAATGGCTCCTAATATTTACATGGCCCCCAATCGCTCACTTACAAACCATACTTCATCCATAACATCAGTCATTCATTCATACATTCGCTGCTTATCTCATGCAGGGCAGACACTATGCTGAGCCCTAGGAATTCATCTCAGAGTGAAAAAGGCATCCTTTTCTGTTGCTTAGCACATGACAGTGCAATATCTGTAGGGGCACAACATCACTGCAAAAGTAGTACTGCCGGGGCTGGTGCTGTGGCATAGTGGGTAATGCCACCGCCTGAAGTGCTGACATCCCATGTGGGCGCTGGTTTGAGTCCCAGCTGCTCCACTTCTGGTCCAACTCTCTGCTGTGGCCTGGAAAAGCAGTGGAAGATGATCCAAGTCCTTGGGCCTCTGCACCTGCGTGGGAGACCTGGAAGAAACTCCTGCCTCCTGGCTTTGGATCAGTGCAGCTTTGGCTGTTGCAGCCATCTGGGAAGTGAATCAGCTGATGAAAGACATCACTCTCTTTCTCTCTGCCTCTGTCTCTCTGTAACTCTGCCCTTAAAAAAAGTAGTACTGCCAGTAGGTCTATTTGGGGTCTCTTCCCTTTGAAATCCCCTGTCCAGATGTTGAAACATTTTGTCCTTGAGCAGGATCTGCCAACTGTGGCCCAACTGACACTTTGGAGTGGGTTGCTCCATGCCATGGCGGGCTGACCTGTGTGTTGTACAATGTTCAGCAACATCTGATCCTCCTCGCTCCTACATTTGTGACAAAAGCAACAAAAATGTCCCAAGACATTGCCAGATGCTTCCCTCTTCCAGTGGATGGGGGAGGATAAAGTCACCTGGGTTGAAAAGAATGGCATCAGGGGAGATGAGTCCATCAGGAACAGAGCTGGAATGTAGTAGGATGACTAGACTCTGTATTTTACTCTTTCATGGCAACATTTGAAAATTTTTGCCTCGCTTTCACGTGTCCCACTTCCATCTTCTCTGTCCTGGTTCTAAAGGTCAATGTGGGTGACGTTGTGAAGGCTTCGAACGGCGAGTTCCTGCCTGCAGACATGGTCCTGATCTCTTCCAGGTGAGTCGCCTTACGTTCATGGGCCTCCACAGAGCCGGGAGTTTGTTCCTGGGCTGGGAGGAAGGGGTGACAATGTGGACCACACTTTCTGTTGCAGCTGCTCTGCTCAGCCGCTACAATGTTGGGAGCAGCCACGGGCAGACCCGCTAGATTCCAATCCCAATACATTTATTAAAACAGATGAGAGCCAGATTTGACTAGTGGGCCCTAGTTTGTGGACTGTTGTTCTATATTTTCATTGTGGTTTTTTTTTTTTAATTTTCCTGGTCACATTTTCTGCTATCATAACACTTAGATTAATTCCATCTCCTCTGTAATTTCTAGAAACATTCAACTAAAGGAACAAAATTTACACTAATCTTAGTGCCAGGTATTCTTATTGTGTAACACACTAACTCATGCAGAAATGACATGATTTACTTAGTATCATTAAGTGGGCTTCTTTTAGGCCCACATTTCTAAACACAGCCTCTTCTTTTTCTGGAACTATGCTGTTTTGTTCACCAGCTGTTTTGTAGGATTCTTATACAGAGACTTCCTACAGGAACTTAATTTACTTCCCATTAAGTTTTTTTTTTTTTAATGATTTGTTTATTTATTTGAAAGAGAGAGAGAGAGAGATCTTCCATCTGCTGGTTTACTCCCCAAGAGCCTGGAGCTTACTCCAGGTCTCCCACGTGGATGTAGGGGCCCAAGCACTTGGGTCATCTTCCGCTGCCTTCCCAGGCACGTTAGCGGGATCTGGATCGGAAGTGGAGCAGCCAGGACTAGAACTGGAAGCCCATATGGTGTGCCAGTGTCACAGGCAGCGGCTTTACCCACTACCCACCCCTCCACCCCCCACCTCCCTATTAGGTCTTACGTTGCTTTTGGATTGGGCCCTCAGAGAACCCCACGTTGCCTCCCTCACTTTTGGCTGAAAGGGACTGTGGTAGCCGGGTGTCTCTCAGTGGCCGCAGCACAGCCCCGACCATAGCTGCACAGGACATCTTTGAGTCCCAGATCAAGTCACAGTCATCTCAAAGCGATCAGAAAGGTGTCCCCACTATTCTAGCCGCATATCATTTGGGAAAGAGAGGTGGATTCACTCGGGGTCCATTCTCCAAACTCTGGGACAGCAGTAGGACCTAAACAGCTCTTCTTTTGGTCAGATGCATTCAGCTAATTGGCAAATAAACTTAACTGTAGGTGATGTCTGTTTCCCTCTTGGGTTTGTCTTGGAGCATGAGGTGGGCACAGGAGGCCAGGCATATACCATAAGAACACTTCGTTTTTTTAATCTCCACGTCAGTTTTATGTGTGGCTTTCCTGGCTGCTTCCTTGCTTCCTGTGTTGTACTGCTTGTGTGAGAGCCATTATTTTTTGAGGGGAAAGCAGGGAGGGGAGGAGACAAAAATCATTATTATTAGAAATTTTGCTGGCGCCGCGGCTCACTAGACTAATCCTCTGCCTTGCGGCGCCGGCACACCGGGTTCTAGTCCCGGTCAGGGCGCCGGATTCTGTCCCGGTTGCCCCTCTTCCAGGCCAGCTCTCTGCTGTGGCCAGGGAGTGCAGTGGAGGATGGCCCAAGTGCTTGGGCCCTGCAGCCCATGGGAGACCAGGAGAAGCACCTGGCTCCTGGCTTCGGATCAGTGCAGTGCGCCGGCCGCAGCGGCCATTGGAGGGTGAACCAACGGCAAAGGAAGACCTTTCTCTCTGTCTCTCTCTCTCACTGTCCACTCTGCCTGTCAAAAATAAATAAATAAATAAAAAATAAAAAGAAATTTTTTTCTAGTTATCTAGATCATATTTTTCTAAGTAATTCTCCCTGCCTCCAGTAAAACAGCAAATACACACACACACACACACACACACACCCCTAAATGCTTATTTGAGCTGGTGTAAAAGTAAGAAAACCAGAGTTCCTGAGTGAACTGAAAGGAACCATGGAGGATAATCCTGTGTCAACGCAGCTTTTTTTCCCTGAAAGGTTCTGCCAAACCCCAAAGACCTGTGAGCACGGGGAGCAGCATAGAGGTAACCATTAAGTCCAGAGCCCACTCCCACAGGGAGACTCTCTGATAGGCAATTCCCAGCCAGGAGAGGGTTTTTTTTTTTTTTTTTAAGATTTATTTAATTACTTGAAAAATCAGAGTTACACAGAGAGAGAAGGATTGGCAGAGAGAGAGAGAGAGAGAGAGAGAGAGAGAGAGAGAGAGAGGTCTTCCATCCACTGGTTCACTCCCCAACTGGCTGCAATGGCTGGAGCTGTGCAGATCCGAAGCTAGGAGTCAGGAGCCTCCTCTGGGTCTCCCACTTGGGTGCAGGGGCCCAAGGACTTGGTTCATCTTCCTCTGCTTTCCCAGGCCATAGCAGAGAGCTGGATTGGAAATGGAGCAGCCGGGACTCGAACCGGTGCCCATATGGGATGCCAGCACTGGAGGCAGTGGCCCTACCCGCTATGCCACAGCACCGGTCCCAGGAAGAGGTTTTAAGCACTGTATGGCTTCAAGTGACATGAAATAAAGGCAAGCCTTTCAAGTGTTGTCTTGTAGAGAAACACCAAACAGACCAAATGATGGCTCCTTGGGAATGAGGCTTCCAGACAGTTCCAGCTCTGCTTTGCCCTCTCTGGACTGGGAATGTGGGTTATTTTTCAAAGTTGAGCCTCCAAGAAGGGGATGATTCTAGACCAAGTGAAACTATCACAAAGTTTACTGGTTTGTTTTTAAAATTTTTAAACCCAGATTCAGCCATTTTTTTAAGTGAAATATCCCTGGCTTACTTTAAGCCTTTGGTTAATTTTCAGAGTGCTAAAAAACTTTTATTATTATTTTTTCCAACTTTCTCACTGTTTTTAATACAGGAGAGGGGTTATATATCATATATGCAGGAGAGGGGTTATGTGTCACATCATCAGAATTTCAGTGAAGTTATATTCTTAATATTAGACTATATACTAGTCATTATTTGGGGTTATAGTAGTCCCCTTTATGCGTAGAGGATACATTCCCAGACTGCTCGTGGATGCCTAAAACCACATATAGTACTGAACCCTATCTATGCTGTTTTTTTTTCTGTACATATATACCTATGATAAAGTTTAATTTATAAATTAGGCACAGTAAGAGGTTAATAACTAATAATAAAATAAAATTTATAACATAGGGGTTAGGGTCATTTGAACACAAGTACTGCAGTACCTGGACAGCTGGTCTGATGACCCAGATGACTATTCAGTGACAAATAGATGGGTAGCATAACAGTGTAGGTCTGCTGGACAAGTGGACAGGAAGAAGCTGGACAATGTGTAATGGTGCCAGTATGGTGTACAATTTAAAACTTATCAATTGACTATTTCTGGAATTTTCCATGTAACATTGTGGGACCATCATTAACTGAGGGTAAGAAACCATGGAGAGTGAAACCACGAATAAGAGAGACTACTGTGTATTAGTTAAATTAGTAGATGGCTTTACTTTAAAATTAACAGCTCAGTGAATAAGATATATAGTCAACAAGACAAGTCAGACTCAGTGCATTTCAGTGGATAATTTTTGTTTCTCTAAATGATTAATGTTTATAAATGAGTTGGCATCTGACATGGAATGGTCTCACAAGGCAAATGCTTATTAATATAGTGTTTGACTCCCTCACTGCTGAGGTTGAGCTGGGGCTTGAACTAGACACTCTAATATGGGATGCAGATACTGCAAGTAGTGTCTTAACTGCTGTGAATGGACCCATTTTAGAGAATAACAGGATTGTGGATTTCACCTCAGATGCGTCTCCTCTGAATTACAGCATATCTGTTTATCCTCGGCGGTTTCTCTTGTTGAGGTTAAAGAGTACTCACACATGACTGTAAGGGCAGATCCTTTTCCACTGAAGCAGTTATTGTGCCAGATGAATTTTAGGCTGGTAGGATCAGACTGCTAATATCCCCCAATAAAGAAGTTGTTTATAGTCCTTTCAGCATTGAAGAATGGTTGTTACTTTCCATTTGGTAAAGAAATAGTCTTCAATGTCATTTGTTTTGTTTTCCTTAGTGAACCTCTGTCAATGTGTTATATTGCAACATCTAATCTGGATGGAGAGACAAATCTAAAGATACGGCAGGTAAAGACACATTTTTTAAAAATCCTAACTGTACACCCGAGCATCCAGTGTCAAATTTGGTCAGGTACCAGTTGTTTTATTCACGAAGAAGATGAATTATCTCACCCCTATTGAATGGATGCAATTTATCCTCATCAAATATTTAAGAGTATATTATTATTGTTGTTGTTATTGTTGTTTTCTGTTACAAGAGGGCACTAGGTGAATGTGTTACTCTTGTTAGGAAAATGTGTATGCTATGAATGTCAGCTCATATGTATATTGTTTTGAAACTTTTTCATTAGTATTTTGGTGATACAATGACTGTCATAGTTAAATGTCATAATTAGATTGAATGGATGGTGTCTGTGAGGTTTAACCTATCTTGTACACCACTGCTTTAAAAATTCCCTCTTGAAGTCAGGTGTTTGGCACAGCAGTTAAGATGCTACTGTGATGCGTACATCCAACATCAGAGCTTGAGTTCCAGCTCTCTTTTTGATCCCACAAGCTACAAGACAACACAATGGCCCAAGCTGAACTGATCCGAGGCCAGGAGCCAGAAGCTTCTTCCAGGTCTCCCACATGGGTGCAGGGGCCCAAGCACTTGGGCTATCTTCTACTGCTTTCCCAGGCCATAGCAGAGAGCTGGATGGGAAGTGGAGCAGTTGGGACTTGAACTGGCACTCATATGGGATACCGGCACTGCAGGCAGCGGCTTTACCCACTACACCACAGTGCTAGCCCTGATGGTCTCTTGTTCCTGACTATAAAATGCATCGTGACATGTTATAGTCACGTAAAAGAGTTGATTTTAGGTTCTCATACATGTCCTTCACCAAATTAGGGAAATGTCCTTATATTTGCAACTTGCTAAGAGAATATAACTTTTTCCTCTTTATTAAATACCACTCATGAGCATCTGCTTCTGAGTTTGCTGGCAATACCTGTTTTTCTCTCCTGGTGAATATCTGTTCACATTGTTTGCTCAATTTTTTGTTTTTGGTTTTGAAATCTGGTTTCTGACATCCAAATTTCTGAGATCTTGTGTGCATGTCTGGGGAAAATTTCTTTTAAATTTTTTGGACATTTGTAAGACATTTAAAGGCATTTAATTCAATACTTAAAAAAATAAAAATCTGTTTTTCTATCATATATTTCTGTTCAGAGGACTTATGAAAATTTGATTAGTGTGCTCTTTTTTAAAAACTACACATTATGAGAAAACTTATTTTCTGTTTGTTGGAGAGGGAGAGGGAAGAGGAGAGGGAGGAGGAGAGAGTGAGGGAGGTAAAACACTCTCATCTACTGGTTCACTCCTCAAATGCCTGCAATGGCTGAGGATGAAGCTGGAAACTCAGTCTAAAGCAATATACTTGAGCCACCATCACTGACTCCCAGGGTCTGACTTAGCAGGAAGCTGGAATGGGGTATAAAATCCAGGCACCATAACATGGGCCATGGGCACCTTGATCAGGGTCATAACTGCTGAGCTAAATGCCTGTCCCCGTTGCTCTCTTGAAAATGATCTGCCTTTTCTCTCTCTGGAAAGTTGAGACAATCCTACTGGAATGAGACACCCTTTGGTTCAGTGGTTCTCCAAGTCTGATCTCTACACTAGCAGCAGCAACATTCCCTGGGAACTGTTGGAAATGCAAATCACACCTCTGGGAACTGTTAGAAATGGCACCTGACTCTAAACATACTACGAAATCCTGGAGATGGTTCCCGGCAATCTGTATTTTAACAGGATCTCTGTGTGAATTTGATGCTTGCAAAGGTTTGGAACCACTATTTTGGATCCCTCCTACTCTAACTGTAATGCATGGTTCAGAGTCATCAGCTATGTACTTCTGTGTATTGACAGTATACATTCAGTTATGGTGCTTTTTTCCCCAGTTAATTGTCAAGAGAAGTGATAAATACTTAACTTTTCTTCCTCTTTCGATTTCATTACAATTATTTGCAGAAATGTCATTTCCAAGTCTTCCAGGAGAGTTTACATTAACGCTTAATGTGCACTTATTTGATTATCCAGTAAGTGCAGTGCATTTCTCGATACTGACGTTCGTCTTCATCTTTTATTAATTACTAGAAACGTGGAGCTTTGCCATGGTACATGCAAGTTTTATTTTAGTTCTCTTCCCCTTTGATGTTATTTTATAGGCTTTGCCAGAAACAGCTGACATGCAAACAAACAAGCAGCTGGCAAACCTAACTGGAAAAATAGAATGTGAAGGACCTAATCGTCACTTCGATACCTTTGTTGGAACCTTGTACCTACCTGGTAAAAGGTATCATCTTTCTCTTTGCAAAAATTTTTTTTCTTTTTTTAAACTTTTATTTAATGAATATACATTTCCAAAGTACAGCTTATGGATTACAATGGCTTCCCCCCCATAACCTCCCTCCCACCCGCAACCCTCCCCTTTCCCACTCCCTTTCCCATTCCATTCACATCAAGATTCATTTTTCGTTTCTCTTTATATACAAAAGATCAGTTTAGCATACATTAAGTAAAGATTTCAACAGTTTGCTCCCACACAGAAACATAAAGTGAAAAATACTGTTTGAATACTAGTTATAGCATTAAATCTCAATGTACAGCACACTAAGGACAAAGATCCTACATGAGGAGTAAGTGCACAGTGACTCCTGTTGTTGACTTAACAAATTGACACTCTTGTTTATGGCATCAGTAATCACCCTAGGTTCTTGTCATGAGCTGCCAAGGCTATGGAAGCCCCCTGAGTTCACTGACTCTGATGGGACATAGAATGTGCTAATTTTTGTTCTGTCAAATAATAACATTTTAAAGCATTTCACTGGTTCCTGTTTTCCTCCACCATGATATACCCTGACACATCTTTTTAACCATTAAAAAAGAATTCTTAAATATAGGTGGAAAATATAGGGCATTTTCTCAATCAGTGTCTGTGTCTGTCAATGCTATTAGGGGCTGCTAGAGAAGCCAAGTCCAGGTTCCCTGTGAGTAGAAGTAGTTAGCATATCCCAAAAAGAAGCCACTGGACTTGTGGTTGATAATCATGCAGGAGTTATCCTTGTTTTTGTCCCAGATGTGTGTGTTGTATAGGACTTTTACAGGAGCATCTTCTACTTAGTGGGTCGTTAGTGCCAAGGGGAGCAGACCAAACCAACAAAGCAGGCTGAGCTTGTCTTCTGTGCTCTAAATTATCCCACATTGGGCCTTCTGTAGCTTGGTAAATAGGCATACAGCTATTTCTCTGCCCACATAATCCTCTCTGACAAATAATTTTATAGTCACCCTAAGTTTAAGTGATAATTTTCTCACTCCCCAGTTTTTAATCAGCATGCCCGTGCAGTGGTAAAAAAATGAATACTTAAGCCAATTCCTCCCCACCCCAACCCTGCTACCGCTGACCCTTTAGGGAGAGGTGCTTTATGAAGAAATATTTGTTTTATTGTCATATGGCCCCCAAAAGTTGAACTTGACAATAGAAAAGAAACATAGGTTAAAGCCCATGCTTTTATTGTACATCATAACAAGAGGAAACTTCTTTGGTCCCTTATGAATGCTCTCTTTTATTTGTAGCCCTGTTGCAATTGGACCTGACCAGGTCTTGCTAAGAGGAACCCAACTAAGAAACACTCAGTGGATCGTTGGCGTAGTGATTTACACTGGCTTTGACACCAAATTCATGCAGGTAAAATAAATTGTAATGACAAATATTTCTGCTTCTAGATTTTTCCCTCTGCTTTTAAGAAGAGAGCAAAGTCAGTATATGGGTGGTATTCAAAACACTCATGGAAATGCAGGTTATGAAGAAATATATATGAATTCCATTTTTTTTTGCCCCAACATAAACTTACTCAAAATTTCATTTTCCCTGAACCTTTGGAATCATCCTTGTATATGGCTGCCGGTTAAGGTAAGACTGTTTTGTTTTTTTAAATTTTTTTCCAAATGTATATTAGAAGTTCTACTTAAGTTATCTCTCTCACAGACTGCTCCTCTAAGATGTTACCTTTTGATCAGCCTTCAGAACATCTTATTTTGCCATAGGATATTTAAAGTATTTATTTATTTATTTATTTATTTTAGCTGAAGTCCTTAACTCTCTCTCTCTCTTTTTTTTTAACTTTTATTTAATGAATATACAT